TTAGATGTCTTTGATTTTTTTTGCCTTCTTGCAGAGCCACTAGAAGGAAGCTTCTAATGTGAGTGCACTGGAGTGTCCTCCAAACACATCTACTTCTCTCCCTTGATGGCATAGGAAGTCCAGGCTCTTAGGCTCTCCCTTTCTCCTCCCAGTTGCCTTAGCATTCCCTTTCTTTCTCAATTGGAACACAGTACTCACAGTATTGCAGCAGCAATTTATTGTCTTTACAATCAAATTTGAGCTGTGAGCTGCTTGAGTCCCCACTCAGGTCGTGCGACTTGTTTTACAAGCATCTTTTTTCTTTGGATTTCAAGTGCTGACCAGTATTATCTAGCTAAGGATCTGCTTTTGGAGCAGAGTCAGTTTTGTTCTGAAGAGGTAAAGTGTTCATTGATAACTCTGTTTGGAGGATGGAGCTGTTTGTGCATTCCTTTCCCTCCTGTGTAATCAAATGTAAATATAAAAAATGGTACTCAAAGTTGATTACAGCAGAATAAGGCCCTGTTTTGACAAGTGGTAAAATTACAATTTCCTTCAAGTGTACTAGCTATGTAAAACCCCTTTATTAATCTTTGACACAAGATAACCATTCCTTGGCAAACAAGATAGAAAAGGATGTTTTGTTTTGGTTTCTACCTATCGGCAATGAGAAATGCAGTAATTGATCCTATAAAGGATCTGACACATGGTCTTCAAGTAATCCTAGTGAAGTCTTTTTATAACTAAGAAACTCTGCAGTCCTGCCCAAAAGCAACAAACCTTTACTCCCATGTCTTTTTTTGAGGAAGGGGAAAGCAGAAGATAGGTCTCTTGGAGGACCCTCTGCCACTGCTTTGCCCCGGCCCCCTGGACAAGGGCCCGTGTTCTCCACTCAGGCTCCCTGCATGCTCCTGTTCTCAGCTGCTCAATCAGGCTCAAGGCCTGCTTGGACAGCCAAAATTGGATTAAAGAGGCCGGTCTTAAACTGCAAAGGTTATGATGAAGATTTGCCTTATAAAATTAATGTTCTGGTACATGTCGTTCTCCGGTGAAAACCGTGCCCTAGATTTAACAGAGCGAACAGCCGGCAGCTCTGTGAGACAGGAGCTGTGCAGGGGAAATGTCCAGTGATACGACACGATGGAGATGAATGAGCAGTCCTGCAAAGAGGAAAACCAGGCGAGGGAAGGAGCAGCTCCTCCTGGCAGGGAGCTCATGGCTGGCATCCCCGCGCTGGAGATCCTGCAACACTCCCATGTTGCTGAAAGGCACATGGTGGATATTAAGCAACTTGCAAATTGTCAACTTGCTGTTTCTCTTTTTTTTGGCTTACAAAATATTTGCCATATCTTTTTTTTTTTAATCAGAACATTTGAGCATTTCTTATTTATTTCCCAGCTATCAAAATATTGGGACAGAAATAAGTCTGTCCCAATCCTTCCCCTTCTAGTCAGTCCTACCAGCATTTTAACAATGAATTGTAATATGTGTATTTTTATATATGTGTATGAGTGTGTACAATGAAACATCAGAAATAATTTTACATAATATATTAATGCATGCACTCAAATAAAAAGAACAGGCTTGATTTTAAATTTCCTGCATTTGAACAGATGCGTGCCTGTTCCTTCCTTCACCTCTCATAGGTGTTGAGCATGATTGGAGTCTCAGAAAGACAAGTGTTTACTTCCTAGGATCAGAATCACTCACAGCAAGACTTCCTTGCCCTGAGTAGTTACTGAGAACCTCAAACGGGTATGGGAGACATCAGAGCTAGGAAGTGTGTACTTAACGTGTGACATATCTTTGTGGCAATACAACAAATCACCATGTAACAAATCCTGGTAAACACAAAACGAAGGTTGTAGAAAGCTTTCAAAGTTTTATTTCAGAAATAATGATAACTATGTGTCTGTATCTGATATGCTGCTAAGCTGCTGAGACACAAAAGCTGCAAAACGGCACTTTGATTTAAAAGATGAGTTTTGTTTGTTTCATAGAGCTCTTGACCTCTGCTCATGCATAATCTCCACATGCATTCAGATGATAAGACAGCATCAAAACATTGTCCTTCTGCAGACAATTCCAGGAATGGTTAGCGGAGAGCTCTCTGTGCCTTCTTACCAACATGTTTGTTACAATGATTTTGAAAGAGAACACCTCGTGCAGGTACTGTGAGAGGAGTTAATGTCTGTTTCTTTCTGCAACTACAATTTTTCTTTTAAATACAAGAATACAAAGAGTAGGGGGGAAAGCATGTGGAGAGGCCAGTGCAGCAGTGCCCTTTCACAAAACATTCTGGGCTGAAGCTAAGAAAAATGAATCACAACCCTGCTATAGTTGTGGGTGCTAAAGTAATGTGGGGGTGAGATGCTGGAGCCTGAATGGGTAAATCGAAGGCCACTGCTTAGCATTACTCAAATTGCTCCCTGTCCCTGTTTTAGAGTGAAATTACATTACAAGCCTCTTAAGTAGCAATGGGAGCAGAAGGTAGAACCCTCCTCCCCAGCGAGTGCCAGTATGGTCTGTGCTGCTGGGTCTTTGCGGTGCGGCCGGCTTGGCTGGGCTGCTCAGAGCAAGGGGCTGCTTTTGCGTAGGTCCCTCTCCTTGCTCGCCACCCATAAGGTCTGAGCATCGGACTGAAAGGGACTGTGGTTGGAATAACTGCTCTGCCTTTTGTAGGAGTTGCATTAAATATTAGTATGACCTACTCATTAGTGCATTTTTAGGACAGTTGGCCAGTGAAGAAGCTACTCCCTTCAAGCAAGACTTAGGCTGAATTCAGGTTTCCATATTCCAATGGGTTCCCTGCAAAACAAAGCAGAGTCTCTGCAAGAATTCCCTGCTCCGGGTGAGCCCTCCACAGCTACACCCAGCTGAGGGCAGGGTGCAGCTGGTGGAAATGTCCACGCTGGGTGTAATGCCCAGGAGCGGGATTACCTACAAAATGCCCATGGGGGCATTTCCTTGGATGTGCACCTGGAATGGGAGAGCTTGGAGCTGCTTGCTGTTCAGTAGCTGCGTGGGTCGGGTGGTGTGTGGGAAGTGAGAAACAGGCTTTTAAATCTGCAGCTCTCCCTTCCCAGCGCTGTGCCCCGGCTATGTGGCTGCAAGCTGTTGTATTTTGGAGGTGTGGAGGGCAGAGCTGCTCTGCTAAGAAAAGTGGTGCTGCTCCCGAACGTAAGTCCAGTGGTGTAGAGGGGACATGGATGTTGCAGCCCAACGGGATAGTCATGTGGCAGGGCAGGAACCTGGGTGTCGGGCTTGCTCCAGTACTGGATCTACATTTAGCCAACATTTGGTGTGGAGTGCAGCATTTTGAAACAGGGAGTTTTGCTCAGACTTCCTTTGGATGTGAGAACCGCAGGGCTTCAGAGCAGGAAGCAGAGCTTTTCCCAGGGCAGCCTAACAGCTGTAGGAAACACCTGGGATGGGGAAGGGTGGGCAGGAGCTACCTCAAGGGAAGAAAATGGAGCTTCCCCAGGTCTCCTTTTCTGGAGGAGTGCTTCTGGCGAGTTGCCCTGGGCAGCAGCAGCAGGAGGTGGTGAAGCCAGCGGGGCAGTCAGCGGTGCCGGAGCTGGGGAGGGCCCTGCAGCGCGGTAGGAGCAAGCTGGGACATGGGTAGGAACAAGCCGGCACATCGCGTCGGAGTGTGGTCTGGAGGTGTTGGAGGCAGCTCTGGAAGACCTCAGTGGTCCTGAGAAAGCAGCATAGCAACAGCAGCACCGAGGTCTGTAGCGGGTGATTCACCTTGCTGTGAGGCTACTTTTCATTATCCTCAGCACACGCTTCTCTGCTGCCCGTGCGGGTGCAGCGAGGCAGTCGCAGCTCTCCGTGGTTTCAGGAGTCTTCTCTGATGTATGTTTACCTCTGAATTAGTCTAGTCCCTTCTTGTGAAATAGCCTGTCCCAGGGTCAGCATTTCCACTGTCTGCCAAGCAGTTACCTGGGCAGAGCTGCCGTTGGTCTTAGTGAAGCAGAAGCAGCTCTCGGGGCTGATCCTGGCCCTTCTCAGTGAGCAGCCGGAGCCCAGCTGCAGCGAAGCTGGTGGACCCGTAGATAAGCCCTGCACTGGAAGTCTCTAGAACTGGAGTGCTGCTTTGTTCTGCGTCTTCCTCTGCGGTCGCTTGTGTTTTGTCCAACACAAGTCACTGTACTGATGACCCCGGTCAGGGAAAAATGTGAGTCCCTGTAGCATGAGATAAAGTCAGGAGCTGTCCTGCAGCACTGCGGGCCGGAGATGTCTCTACTGGTAAATTCAGTTTTGTTCTAGAAGAAGCCCCTTATGAGCTTCTAGAACTACTGTGAAATGCAGAGTAGGGAGCAGGAGTCTAGATGCTTTCTGTAGCCATCACATAACAACATTGTAAATCCTTGTTATAGATATCCAACTGGTGTAATTTAACAAGCAGAATTTTCACCACAAAATAAAGATACAAAAGAGTTCCATAAATAATATCTGACAAATTGTTTTGGAAAGCTTAGCTGGGTATCTAAGCCATCTAACTTTAGCCACCTAATTTAGTTAAGACTAATTAAGACAGTCTGCCCAAGGGAAACAGATGTTGTCAGACTAAGGTCCTGTTTTCAGCTGTGCTCTGCTATGATTTCTCCCCCTCTGCTGACTATGAGAAGCCTTGGGAGACCAGTATCCTGATCTAAATTAAGCAGAGTGAAAACACTTGCAGAGGGGTCAGCTCATAGCAGCTACCTCATTGCAGACTGGCTGCAATGAAATTTTAAGACTGCAGACATGTTATAATGAAGTGCCTGTGTCCACAAGCTGTAGCTGAGTCACAGTTGCTTGGCACTTCGCTTTTTATCATACAGTCTTCATCGTAAAACACCTCTTGTTACATTTAGAACATGATAATGCTCATTTAAATGCTAGTTTTCTAAGATATTCCAAAGAAAAGTCTACAACAGTAAAATCAGCTAAAAAACTAAGCATATTTGGTGTGTTACAATGAACTCTGACTTCAAAAATTAACACAGGATAATGGTCATTCTTTTTCTTTCCAGCGCTCAGGCGGTGCCTTAGCTATTCCTCTGTGTGCGTTCCAAGGAACTGTGTCTCTGCAGGCACCCACGGGAAAAACCCTCTCTTTATCTACCTACGAGGTAAGCACTGACGGGCAAAAAATAACACCCACGTCCAAGAAGATTGAAGTATATCGCTCTAAGAGTGTTGGTCATGAGCCAAACCTGGAGAAGTCGCCAAATACGTTTGCTGACACAAGTGTTAAAATTCATTTAGAGGTTCTTGAGATTTGTGACAATGAAGAGGCCCTGGATACCGTGTCCATCATCAGTAATATCAGCCAGTCCTCCACACAGGTTAGGTCTCCATCCTTACGGTATTCACGGAAAGAGAACAGGTTTGTTTCGTGTGATTTAGGGGAAACTGCCTCCTACTCACTCTTCATACCATCCAACAACCCTGACAGCGATATTAACATATCAATTCCAGACACCGTCGAAGCTCATCGGCAGAACAGTAAAAAGCAACATATGGAAAGAGATGGTTATCAGGAAGAAATACAAATGTTGAATAAAGCATACAGAAAACATGAAGAAGAAGGCAACAACAATTAAAAGACATTTAATCTAGACATTTAAACGGATTTAACGGACACTGCTCCTCTTGACTCAAGTTGTTCTAGAAAATACAACTGTTTTTTCCTAATAGATAAATTTTGGGGGGGTCTACTATCAAATAGATCAGAACTTTAAATCGCGTATAGTTGGGAAAACAAATACTTAAGTGCTTTACAGCCTTGCTTAGTGAATTTCAAGTTATTTATATATCTATTTATTTGAAGAACTCTCATGTCTAAGAAGAACTCAAAGTCTTAGAAAACTGGGTTGGTTGCTTGTTGGCGCTGCCTGTCCACGAGAACCTGGGGAAACACTTCATCCAGGTGAAGTTTTAACAGTTTTTACTGACTGTTGCAATTCTTCTCTTACTGCTCTGTTACGTCTCTTACATGACTTGAAACATTCATCTGCAAAAATGTAGCAAAAGTTTAAGGCTAACTCCTTTATTTGACTAAGTAAAGGGTTAAAAGACTATGAGGTGATTTAGGTTTATATTGTTCTGTGTGTGATTCAAATGTAATACTATGTACTGGATGCCTGAAATGTAAGCATGTACATTCTGTAAATACATCGTCGTGGAACTTAACAATGTTCTCATGGCTTGACATTTCTTTGGTGAAGTGTGTATAATGTTGGTTAATTTTATGCCAGTGACTCTAAGGAGCACACTTTCCTTGCCTCCATGATGTCTTGCCAAGTTAAGAGGTTTCACAACCTCACAGTATATTTGCACTAGGTTCAAATAAAGGTAACATTTGAAATGTCTCAAGAGCTAAGCCATTAAAATTAATTTGATTAATTTTTCATGTTTAAAGATTTTCAGACAGGAGACATCCCTAAGCAAGGACCAGTGATTTGCAGTGTGATCTTCCGTGCGGGCCGGTGGCTGCGGGAGTCCCAGCGGCTCTCGGCAAGGACACCAGCATCACTCCTGCCATGTAGCCCTTGTCAGTAAACCCCTCATCACTCTGCTTGGGACAGACCCGCATGCTTTAGAGCCAACATAGTCAGGAGTCTGCAGCTACAAATGATTTATGACTTGTAAGAGGGGGCGAGGGAGCTCTTCATGGTGGCCAGTCTTGGAGATCTAACTTAGACATCGACCTCCAGAGAGGGAGGCAGAGCGATTCCTGCTCTGAATCACTCTCAGGAGGAGTCTGGGCCTCTACTGACTTACAGGAAACCTAAAACTAAGTGTAAAACCAGCCTAAAGCTACCGAATACTCCATTTTATGTCAGATTCTGATAAAAAGTGGCCAAACAGTTGATAGAGTCCTCAAGTTCTACATGAAATATGTTGCAAACATTCTTAAGGCTAATGTGCAATTAATGCTAGGACAACAATGTGCATGAGGAGAGAATCGGTGTCCAAGGCTGCAGGTTGTTGTGGTAAAGGTGGATCCCTCTGCGAATTCTGCTTTCCACAGACTACCATTCCAAGCTGAAAACAGGGTACTTTCAAGATTCCCTCAAGGCTCTTGTACCATGAAGGTGTTACATTTCAGATTTAACAGGAGACTACAGCAGGACTGAGTTACTCATGCCCTATAATAAGTCGCTGTTTATATGGACTAAGCAAAGAGGCCTTGAGCTGTCTCTGAAGCTGCTGCTTTTCTTTGTCTTCTGTAGATGGGACACAAAGGTTGAGCCATAGCTTCATCACCAGGGCTTTCAGGTTTTGCCAGGTGTTTCTTTTCTTTCCTGAGGAGTGGGGTGGACCCTGCTGACAAGAAGATCAAGTGCTAGGTGTTAATCTCAGGTGGGTGTATTTAGAAAGGGTTAAAATTTGGAGGTACTAAAATTCTGCAGAGATGCAAACCTGAACTTGACCTAATCATAGAATATTGTTCTGCTGCTGTAATAAAAATTAAATTTTCTTTAATTAATCAGTTAATTTGCTAACATTATTTTATGTTTTGCTCTAAAATGAGTCACATGATTAAACATTTTAAAATGTCTGAAAACAGAAGTTGTAATTGTTGAGTAGATACCAGTTTTTTGCACAAAGCACTAGCAAACTAGCTGCATACTCTCATGGTTTATGTGTTCATGTACAGTATCAAGGTGTACTCATCATTTTGGAAGTATAATTGGACTTAAAAAAAACATTTCTAATAGTTTGTCACAAAAACATTTTTCTTCCTCTTCTGTTTTTTTTTTTTTTCTGTCTGACCTTTTTATGTATTTCAGTGACAGCTTGACATTTGAGAGCAAAGTGGTTGTCAGTGATCATTTGAAGGTAACTTGAAAGAGAGCTCACCTCTGTGCAGGCACCACAGGGACTGAACGAAAACACAATCCTCTGGAAAAATGTGACCTGAATCTGCTTTGGGTCTTCCCCTGCTGTTAGGGCTTGGACTACTGAATAATGCAAAGGATGCAAAGTAAGAAACTGGGAAGTATTTTTGTAGATGTTCTTTGTTAAACAGTATACCCAGAGGTTCAAAGTTTGCTTTCAGTGGCACTCACGTATACTGAGAATAACATGCTACAAGACAGATAAACCTTTTATAAGCAGGCTCAGGCCCAAGAGCCACAAATTCCTCAAAGAACAGTGTTTCCTTAAATAACAGATATAGCCAGGTACAGAAATGTCATCTTCCCTGTAATATACCTGATTGAAAATACATCTTTTAACATCATATTATTTTAAAATACAGCTATTTCATACAAAATAGTAACTGTTATTTGTGTATTATTTCACTTTTATAGATTTGAGGCTGATGCATAGATTCTGGAACATGATTTCACTTCCTGGTATGTATCACTGTAATGATTAAAAACACTAGCATTTAAGTACTGTGTTTCTCTGTCATAATGTGTTTTACAGATTTAGACAGTTGTCTCAGGGCAGAATAACTTCTGCCTTTCTAAACTTGAGCCACAGCTCCTATGTGTATTTCAGTTCCCATGTATGTGAGATACTCAGTCCTTATACAAGTGATCCTTACTCACACACCAAGTCCCACTGACTGCAGCCTGATTCACTCGTGGGGTTGAGAGCCTTTAACGCTGGATCCTCTTCCCTTGGTTCATCCCATTCTTGCTGTTTACCTGTCGGTAGTTTCATATTTCTTCTTGAGGAATCCAACTTCATTAGGAATCTCACTTTGGGATGCCAGACACTATCTTTTGTCCTTTTTGAGAACATGCTGCTACCAAAATAAACCATTGTGCACAGATTCATTGCTTTATGTCATGAAAATGGGCTACTGAAATGAACGAAAATGAATGCGAGCCGCGGTTGAAAGTTGGATAACTCCAGTAATTTTCAAACCACTGAGTTTATTTCAAGAAATTCCTCGTGTCATGTATATTACAAAAAGATCTTTGTATAAGTAGATACACATTTGCTATCTTTCCAGCATCTGAATCTACTGCAAATACTTCCATTTTGAAAGTTTTCTTTCCATGCAGATGGAACTTTTCCTTATGCACTTAAATCTCATTTACTTCATGCACATGTGCTGCCTGAGCATCCAAATGTGGTACCATGCTGAGACACTGGAGCAAACAGAACAGGTCTGCTGAAGTTACCTCACTGGTTTCCCTGCAGTGATGAAGAAAGCTCTTAAATATGATGTTCTCGGTTTGCTTTTATGTAATGGCCTCTGAAGCTGCCTGTTCTGATTTGGTTATAGTGCAGCTGGATCCTATTACTTGGTGTCCTAGTTTGTGAGCGCTGCACCGTTTTGAAACCCAGTGAATCCTGTAACCTCACCCTCATCGCACTAATGGGTTCAGAGCTGCGAAGGGAGAGGTGTCACCACGTGGTGGCCTTGATGAAGGAGAAGCTGCGCCCTGGTGCGGTGGCTGCGCTTGCACCAAGGTTACGTGTTCCTTAGGGATGTTGGTGTTCAGTGGCTCTTTTTGATAGCGCCTGCAGTCTGCTGCCTGTGTTATGAGCAGTAACAGGACTGCAGCAATTACTCCTTCTTCCAGATTTTTTAAGGGTTGTCAGGAGCCCCCAAGGTACAAGTGAATCCTGCCATCTGTTCCAGCCTCTTTTATAGGTTTCTCATTGCAGGAGTGGGGGTTACAAGTTCTGAGAACAACTTGTCTAACAATGTCTGTGTAAACTGGGCAAGTAGCTGCCTGTTAAAGAGCTTATTTCATTTGCCTTCTGGATTTCATTGTAGCTATTCTCTAGCTTCAGACTAGCATCACACATCTCCTGTCATTATATATCTAAAGGATATATGTCTATCTCTAACGATTAGAGATACTAATTGCCCCAAGTTATGTTCAGCAACAGGCAAAACTGAGCTCAGGACTTCACAGGTGTGAGGGCAATGTCATGTCATTGACACTGGAGCAGCAGCATGTGTTTATCCATCTCCACTGTCCTGCTTTATCCTTTCGGAAGGATTTGTGTTATTTTCCCTGGTTTACAGAGATGTTCTGGTGACTTATTTGAGAGGGACAACTTTTCTTTTGACATTTCTTCGTTCTTACATTTCTAGGAATTATTTTCCTTGACTCTGATCCTTGTCTGGTTACCACAGTGGGGCTTCAGAATATTGTGAAATTACTGTGAGTTCCTGTTGGATGGTAAGAAGTGGTGGAGTGTGCCCTCCAGTCCCCATCGACCCCAGAAGCGGGATGCAAGGGGGAAGCGAGGAAGAAGAGATTTCCTCCTCCAATTCACCCCAAAACACTACGTTCAGGCACTCCGTGCCGGTTACTCGCAGACCTGGTTCTCTCTTCCCGACCTGCCTGTTCTCGCACACGTTATAAATTGGCCGTCTCTGGCGCACATAGAGCAAGTGTGTAAGAAAGGTCAGATCTGTAGTAAGAGATACCCCTGTAGGCCGAAGCTGCATCGTGGGCAGTGCTGAATATTTTATCATACTTATTTATTTTATCATATTTCACGACTGTTGCTGCTCTCTCACAGTAGGTGTCGGGCAGCAGGGAACGTCTGCGATGGCCGATGTTGCCCCTGCGCGTTCCGGGGGCCGCGGGAACGGCTCGCGA